TTTGTTTGGTTTATGCCGTTGTGTCCAAAACTTGGCATCTTTAGGAGGAGTGTACTTCACCCCCAAGAATTGGGGGGTGGGGAAATTCTGGGAGTTGAAGTCCACTCATCTTAAAGTGGCCAAGTTTGGACAACACTGGCTTATTGTATTATACCCCGTACAAACAGAGGGTGAAACAGCACGCTGTAACACGGAGGAGGACTATTGATTCAGATGGCTCTTTGGTTGGTTCCCTTTAGAAAATTGTTTATATTATTTGGACATAACCAACATTTTGTTGTAGAAAATGACTACAGTATTTGTACAATGTATATTCTGCCTGTCTCTCCATAGGGCACTCATGGGGGTAACAATAAAAGAGAAATAAAAACATTACCACTCAAAAAAGTTAACCATTAAAGCTAATTCAGACTGAATTGGAAGAGGAAGATCGTGACAAATGGCTAAGTACAACTCAGTAAAGAGTGCAATCCACAGCTTGGAAACTATATTGTATATATTTAACTTTTTTTTAATGCTCCCTTTATTAATCTCCAGCTGGCTACATCCAAACTATAATACTTTTCAAGTTAAGGACCATCAGCCTAAGAATTAATGTTTTTCTGCTATTTCTAGCATCACCTACTAATTTCCAGCAGTCATCTTCCTGTGGGATTCAGGGCCTTGCACTTTGGTGAAAACCAGTCTCTGCTGAACCTCTCAAAGAGTTTTCCAGTTTCCAAATGGGTGACCCTTTTAGCTTTTTTGCAGCAAAAACTGGCACAGTGCATCTTACACTAACAAAAACTATCAAGAGAAAAATGCATTAGTTAGGCTGCATTCACACATTAACACCCTAGGTTTGTTTAAATAAGGTTAACTGGATAAGCATAGCTGGCTGGATTTCCCAAGATCAGAGATTCCCCCAATTACAGTTCCCCCAACATCACAGATTTAAGGTATAACATTGACTGTGTACACACCACACGTTAACTAAACACAAACAAGCATAGGTTTTTGATTCAGCGCGTTGTGTGAAAGCAGCCAGTTTCTACAATGCTATTTGTAATGTAATGTTTTTACAGTGCTGTTCACAAGGCTATTTTCCCTGTGTACGCTGCGAGAAGAATATCGAAAGGGAAACAAAAAGCCCCGGGAAACAAAAAGCCAAGGCGGCTTTTCACCTTCGCTTGACTCGGTAAGCGTTACGCACACGACAGCAGCGCGCCGAACGCCGTTCTCCGTACAAAGGGGCAGCGCTGGCTGCAGCGCGCGCCCTCCCAGGCCTTCTTCACGTGATGGGCCACGTGGACGCACAGCGCGCTCGGGCGCCGCTTCTCTGATTCGGCGGGGAGGGAGGCTCCTCTTTCCGCCACGTCCCGGGCGCTTCGGGGTGGCCGCCACTGGCCGGAGGACAGCCCAGCGCGACTACCAGGAGGGGCGCCCTGGGCTGGTTCTCTGGAGCGAGTCAGAGGGTAGCCGCGGCGGGAGCGGGTGAACAAGCGGCGGGGGAGCATGCCCGAGGGTGGTCCGGGAGAGGCTGGCGACTGAGCACGAGGCGCCGAGCTGCCAAGCGACGACCGGGAGACCGACTGAGCAGAGAGGGGCTCGGCGCCCGCTCTGGGTCTCTCCCCTGCTCGTGTCCGGGGCTTTCCGGGTCTCAGATCGTCCGGCCAGCTCGGTGGCGGAGCGTAGGTGCGATCAAATGCTGTCATCTCCTGCAGGGGGAGGTGGTTGCAGCCAAGTTCATGATGTCGCGGAAGTTTCGGCTTCTGGCCGGTCTTGAATAGGCCCCCCAGCTCTGGAAAGATGAGCTGTTGGGAAGGTGGTCGCTCTAGGATGCTGTCCAGATGTTGGGGGTGGCAGCGCTGATGAGTCCTGGCCAAACTGACTGCTGGTCCTTCTGGGTAGGAATTATGGTAGTTGATTTCAAAGGCACGTGGAGGACACCAGATTGGAGGAGACTTCCATAGGGTCTGTTACAACTAGGCATGATCTGCCCTCCCACCTTGCCCCCCTCTTTGATAATTCATTCTTAGGATTTTGTAAATAATTAAAACATTTGTAAAATAACATCTTTATTGGTCCTGAGTATGCCTACTAGCTGGAAGAGGAGCTTACTCTAATCTCTTGTTCATGTATTGTGTATACTGCCTGAGAGCTCTTTTGATGTGTTTACCTTTACTATATGTGAAACAACCATTAAATTATAAGTTCTTTCTGTCTTTCTTCCCTCCTCTCTTTTCAACTTCCTCAAACTGTTTCTCTTTCTGTTGGGTACCTATCCCCTTAAAAATTAATATTGCTATGTTTGTGTGCAGAACTAGTAGCACAGTTGCAGTAGCCTTTAAGTAAATAAATTAATTACATTGTAATATCAGATTGCAGTTCAGCCATTAACTGAAAAAAATGAACTAAAGCTCCATGGGTAGACTACAGTCTACCTTTGACTCACTTCTGCCAAAGATCTCTGTGTGTAAAACATGTTTCTGTACCATGCTCACTTTCTCTTAAGTGTAGATTCAAAGGAACATTGGGAAGATTTCAGAGTCAGGATCTAAGTTTTGGTATTCCACAGCCACAATAGGGTTGAGAAGGCTAGCTCTACAGTCCTTCCTCCTAGATCTGCTCCAGATCTCCAGTTGGCTATGATCTTTCCTCTACAAGTGTCCTTCAGTATACTGTGAATATGCAACTCTTCTGGATTGTTTTGAGCCTGGTGTTTGAGTTTCATTTAAAAAATGGAACCCAACAGAATATGGTTAATAGCAACTTGTGAGAAGAGCTTTGTTTATACAAGGAATAATGGAAGTTCTGTAAAGGAGGCGTGTTTCCTAAATTGACTATTTGTTTCTCTTGCTTATGCAGATCCTTTGAGACCAACCAACATTCATGAATCCCACTAGATTGCAGGAAACCAGCCAAGTATCTGCAAATGTCAGAATTCACTTCAAAGTCTGCAGGTTCATCATGGAAGCAGGTGAGAGAACAATTGCTACTGGTAATTAAAATATCTGCCTTCCATGGTTAGTAATGCCCAGTTCCTGTGAAAACAGTGTTGCTGTATTGGGAGAAAATGCTGATCTGTAAGGTCCTTGGAGTTAGGGGGTTTTACTGGATAGACGTAGAGTCAGAGACAATGCAAGATGTTAGATTGGTGGGCCTCATGAACTAGTGTGAAATAGGTATGACTTACTCTATTTCTTACTTAGTTTTAATCATGTCTTACACTTGAGTAGACACATGTAAACATTTCCAGTGTCTTTGCACTTATTTGGGAGAATTCTAGAAAGTGGGAGCAGGTTTACTTCTGATGGAGGAACTGGATAAAAATACTTGGGTGTTGATCCTATGGCCTCTGCAACTCCCATTTTTCCTGAATCTTGGCTGTGCTGTTTCTCATCCCAGTAGGCCTCAAGTCCCCTATTCCTGAACTGCTTTACAATGAGAGCTGTGCAAGTAGGACAGACCTTGGCAGCTTCCATTCATTTCCAGGAGGTTTGTGTAGGTGAACCTCCTGATGGGCCATTACGTCCTCTGCTTGTAGCCAGGTCATCTCTGAGTCAAGAGGTTGTATCTTGCTTCTCTCCTCCTTTTTCTTTCATGGGGGATCTAGAAACTCCTTGTTGAATCTCCTTTCTGCTGACAGGTGTGAAGTTAGGCCTGCGCTCTGTCCCTATCGCTACAGCGTGCACCATTTATCACCGATTTTTTATGGAGGTGCCTCTGGAGCCATATGATCCTTACTTGGTAGCTATGGCTGCACTGTATCTGGCTGGGAAGGTAGAAGAACAGCATTTGCGGACAAGGGACATCATCAATGTGAGCCACAGGTAATAAGCGTTGGGAGCAGGGTATGTAGCTTTGACTGGCAGGCTGGATGTATGAGTCAGCAAAACCTGACTTCCTGCAGCTTGGCATTCCCCATTGCAAAGGGAGCCTCCACTACAGTAAAAGTAGTTGCTGAATCAAGGGATGTGTAGCCAGATGGATCTGGTGCTCTCCACATGTGATGGAACTGGAACTTCCAGAATTTGGTCATACTAGTTAGGAATTCTGGCTGCTGCAGCCTCCACATACTTGGAGGAAGAGCAGATTGGAGAAGGTTGGCTTAGGTCATAGGTCCATTTGCTTTAAATTATAATGCACTTCATCTGTTTTGCACATCCAGTTCTTTAGGTATTACTAGGCTAAGTCACCTTAATTCACAAGACTTCCTTGTAAGATTCAGGAACCCAAAAAGAACCTTGTGGATCAGAAAAATACCTCATCCGTTTTTGTATTGGTCAGATAGTTGCTCCCAGGAAGTCCATAAGTAGAACATGAAAATAACAGCTGAATAACTTTGTATATTGAACTGTAAGGTTGTGTGGAAGAGATGTTTCTTCCCTAGCAACTAGCAAAGCTGACCTGAAGGGAAATTCTTTCCTGGTTTTATGGCAATTTCTTTCTGCTTTCTAATAATTATATATTATAGCAACAACTTTAGAGCTATGATAGCCTACAGAAATAAATACATCTACTCCATCAAATAAAATTTATTCTTTCTATTGAAAATGTCCTTCATAAATGAACCGACCTAACAGAAAACCATAGAAGATTGTGAGGTCACCCTTGACCTGGGAGCTCAGAGGAAGGATCAAGTCAGGTTACTTGCAAACTGCAAGAAGGAACCAGAAACTTTTCAGCATTTTTCTTTACTCCTCTCAGGTACTTGCACCCTCGGAGTGACCCCCTGGAGCTGGACACACATTTCTGGGAGCTGAGAGACAGCATTGTCCAGTGTGAGCTACTCATGCTACGGGTGCTCTGCTTCCGTGTCTCCTTCCAGCACCCCCATAAGGTCTAGGCTACATAGCATGGGACTCAGGGTGGAAATGGGGTGCATGAAGTACATTGGAGGCCAGGGGCTAAGTCTTTACTTCTCTGCCTTTAGGCACTGAGTGAATACTCCTGTTGCAAGAGAAGTTGATACCAAGTTCTTTTCCTCTCCTCCCCCATGTTTTCAGTTATCCCTGACAGATGTCCTCCTCTTTATGCAGTACCTTCTCCATTATTTACTGTCCCTGAAGCACTGGATGAACCGGCATAGTTGGGAACGGACCCCGGTGGCTGCAGCAGCTTGGGCTCTGTTGCGGGACAGTTACCATGGACCCCTGTGCCTCCAGCACCCTCCACAGCATATTGCTGTGACAGTCCTTTACCTTGCTCTGCAGTGTTACGGGGTGGAGGTACCTGCTGACGCTGAAGCAGAGCGGCCGTGGTGGCAGGTAAGAGAGAAGTGGTGGGAAGTAAGCATCTCAAATGTGTTATGTGTCCTTCAGCTCAAATTGGATCAGGTTTGGAGCATGTCCCCATGGGATTTTGTTTATATGGTTGTTTGCTTGTTTATCATCCTTGTTTATTTATTATTTATTTATAGGTCATATTTATATAGCAGCCCATCTCACACAAAGTGACTCTGTTTCATGGCCTCTGCACTTTAAACTGAAATGCAGGCAGTGCAGTTTCTTAGATGTTAAGCTACTGCTATCACCTGACCTGCACCAGAAGTGGAAAACCTCCCTCTGACCTACCATACTTTAATCAGTATATGTACAACTTTCCATATTTAGGGAAAATCTTGAAGCAGCATACAGTAATATATCAGAACCAAGGCAAATATTAAACTACATATAATCTTTATTATACATATTTTTAAATCAGATCATTCAGTCAGAAAACTATAATGCTGCCTGGTATCTATCAGCCCAAGCCAGCTTTATCACACATGGAAGGACACAGATTCCTCAATCCTGGTCTATGCATTCTGGCTGGGTTCATACATCATGCTCAACTGTGGGTTTTAACCAGGTTAGGCAGAACAAACCCTAGGTTGTACCTCATATGTATAACTGTGACGTGGTTAGGTAAGAATGGAGAGTAAAACCATCTGAGAATTGTCCACCAGGGTTTCAGATGTTTCAGGAGCTATGCATTCAAGGCCAGGGAGCATAGTGCTGATTTTGTGTGGACCATTCCTAGGTGCCCTACTCTGCAGTGGGCTGGTTGTGAGTATTTTCTGAAACTGTGTTCTGGTGACAAGCTAGGGATTCTGCTGCCTCCCCAGACACCCTGTTGCCCAGTAATTTCCCTTCCTGAGCTTCTAAATCTCATTGTGGGGCTAGCATTGAACTCCTTGTGGCTCTTAGCACAGGAGAATTCAGTTTCCATGCTCTGGGAATGTGATTTGGAATAACTTGGTTGTTCATGGCCCCCATGGCCCCCAGTGATGTAATTAATACTTTGTCATGATCAGTCTGTAGCTATTTGCTTTTAGGGACCTCAGCAAGGGTGGAGGATTGATTAAAATGATCTGCCCTGGACACCTTATTGATCTGTTTTGTTTCCATCTCATACTTGAGGATTTTGTCAGCATTGTCGTGGGCAGTTCTGCTGCAAGTCTTGCTTGTCTTTGAAATGTGAAGATAATGAGGGCTTTGGATATGAATTCCAGCAAGACAGAATTGCTATTTGTACATAAACATTCACTGGCTCTAGATAGAATTGCATTCCCTCTGACGAAGTAGGTCTGCAACTTGGGAGTTCTCCTGGATTCATGGTCCCTCCTGGATTATCAGGAAGAGCCTGCGGCCAGGGGAGCCTTTGCCCAGCTCTGGCTGTTCTGCCAGTTCAAGTCTGGCCCTTTTTAGAGTGGGAAACCTTAGCATCTGTTACTCCTGCCCTCGTTATGTCAACATTAGATTACTGGAACCTTCCTCTGTTTGAGGCTGTCTTTGAAGACTACCTGGAAACTGCAATTGGCACAGAATGTGGCAGCCCACATGCTGGCAAGTGAGAGCTGCTTCAGCAGAGTTAAATCCACATTGTAGGTGCTGTGTTGGTTGCCAGTATGGTTTTGAGGACCTTCAAGAAGCTTGCCTTAGCCTACAAAGCAACTATGTGGCTTGGGTCTGAATCACACACAGAATTTGCCTGTCCTGTTTGATCAGTCTGCAGGGGGTGCTCTGGTCCCTGCTCCTCGGGAGGCTGGGGAGACAGGTTCTTGGATGGAAACAGGGTTTCTTGGTGGTCTTCCCCCAGGTCTAGATGGGCCCCCACAATTTTAGTATTTCAGAAAGCAGTGAAAATCTGGCTTTTCTGTTGAGCATTTGGGACCTGAGATGTTAGTTGATGATGATGTTGTTATTTCTGATTATGTTTTGAAACATGGAGGTTTTAACTTTATGTGGGCCAACCAGAGTTGTTGAAATGTGCAAGTTATAAATTATAGAAGTAAATAACCATAAGAAGACATAACCTGTAGCTTACAAATCACAGTGGCTAGGTGCGCGTATCATGCTAAGTCAAAACCAAACAGAGAGTGATGTATGAACTTAGCCAAGACTTACTCCTCCCTACTTTGCAGGGGGTACATTAGGGTCCCTGTGTAGGAAGAAATTCCAGGTCTGCCCTCAGTGCTGATTAGATCCATACAGTTGGCATGCTCTTAAATGAATAATAAAATTTGAGTTGTGAAATGAGTTGAGGTACAGCAGATCCATAGCTGGGTTACATCTTTTTGTTTTTAAGTGACTAATACAGCCATAGCTCCCTTGAACTGAATTAAAACATACAAGTACCCTATGGAGCAAATAATATCTATATCATGTGGAGAGCAGTTTCAGCTAGATAAATAGCATCAGGTAGGAAAGCTAATCTTCTTCACCCTAAGCCTTAGTTTGGTGGCCCTAATCCATTCGTTTGCAAAAACATGGGAGAGTTAAGCACAGATCTGCTATAATTCACTTTAAACAATTAGGCCATATCCTTGCTTAGACTTAAGCTTACTCCTGTCAAAACTGTGGAATCCCACAGATAATAGAAGGTGATGAATGTTAAGATGTAAACCATTGGGAGTTTCTGGGAATTATGGTGATGTAAAAATAAAACAAATAAAGAAAATGTACTTGCGTTTATTTTTAGCTTTGCAGTTCCACCTTCTAGTTCAGGCATTGGAGCTTCTTTGCAGGATAAGGACAAAAGCCAGTAGTGTGGTGGTCAACAGGGAAGTTGGAAGCAGATTGCAATTTTTAATGGAATAGGCATTAATAGGGAGAAGCATCACTTTATGTGGTGTGTTTACACCCATTTCTTCTGTCCCTCTGCCAACTGTGGTCAGATGAAATTTTTGAATTCTGCAAACCTATCTTAGTGAGGGAAAGTAAGCGAAATAGATGCACCAAAACTGGCTATATGGCACTTTCATTTCAGGAAGAATATTTTACCCACCTGCTCCTGTGAGTATTAGTTTTTTTTCCCCTCCTTTGCTAAAACCTTTTCCTCATTTTAATTTACTTTTTAGGTGTTCAGTGAAGATCTTTCCAAGCCTGTCATTGACCAGATAGTCTTGGAACTGATACAGATCTACACGTTGGATGCAGAGATCTAAGTGCACTATGAAGAGAAAGACTTCCAGCCCAGGGCCTCTAGTGAATTGGCATGTTTCAAGCTGGGATAGTGGTGGAAGTATTATCTACACTTGAAGGGACTGGCACCAGAGGTGCATCCCGTTCTTTTGAGACATCCTGTTGAACAGCAGTGGAGTTGAACAAGTGAAGCACCTTGATAGTGCTGGGTATCTCCCGATTCACTTTCCAGTGTGGAATTAATCTGGAACTCATCTTCCTCTCCCACCAAAGAAGGATGTTCTGAGCTGAAGTTTGTGGAATGATGAAATGAGTGAAAAAGATTCTTTTCTTCACCTATTTCAAGTAAAATGTGTTGGCCGGACATTTAACTTGTTTCTGGAATAATTTCCCAAGCCTGAGTGCAAGCACTGCTTTGTGCTGACCTTGTTACGAAATTAGTTGGGTGTGTGGCGTATCAGAACCAATAGGTAAACCCTCTGTGTGGTGCAGTAGTATCTGAAGGGTAGTCTGACTCCATTGTTGTGTTTTCTTCAGTTCTAGAGTAAAAAAGGAAGCTTCACTGGGCTGCTGCATTTTTGTGTTTCTAGGTCAAATGGTACTACATGTCCAGAAGAGGTCTGTACATTGATAATCCTCCTGAATTTGTGTTCCTTCTGATAATAGAAATATTTATCAAAAGAAGGAATTGGTGTATGGAGCTGAAGGCAAGATTCTAGGTAGACATTCTCATTTTCCTAGCTAATTGTGCAGAGGAGATCAATTCCAACTCTCTCCTTTTTGGGTCTTCAGATTTTCTCATTTGTGTTAAAGGCCCTGCCCTTTCTGGTTATAAATTTGCTCCTGTCTTTAGGTAGTGTGATTGGAATATATTTGGCCAAGGTACCTTATAAAGAATATTTACTACCTCCAAGAAGGAAAGCCTTATGGTCGTCCATCAGCCCTATCTCCTAATTTACAGAAAGTCTGATAATGCCATCTGGTGTTTCTAAAGTGTTAAGCAGAAATTATCTGTGTCCTTTTTATGCTTTTCTCTATAATGAGAAGGCCTAGAAACCTTTTTCCCACTAGCTACACATGATTTTATGGGAGCTACTCTGTAGGAAATCCTATAGAATTAATATAGTGCTGTGATTGAAATAATGTTGAACACATATACCTCCCCAAACTTATACTTTATTTTACTTGCATCCTTTAATCTGAAGCTGTGTTTTAGACAGATGGGAGTTCAGTGCAAAACTTGGAATTCTGTAGTTGTTCATCTTTAAGGGACCAAAGCAGAGAGATGCAAGAAGGCTTTCAGCTCCAGGCATAAGAGCAAGGGGAGATTTGGGAAGTTTTTCTGGGTAAGATAACTGCACTTCCAGGGGAGGGTGTTGCAATTGTTTAGGGCCACAAATTGGGTACACATGCACTATTAATTGAAAGCCATGCCAAAACTATCAGTACAACGTCTCAGGGAATTTCACATTCATGTTTTTTAAACATACTGTGTACAGAAAGTCCCCTAGATACGAACTTTCAAGTTGCGAACTTCCACTGATACAAACAAGATGGACCAGGAAGTTGGAACCAGAAGTCGGACCAGAAGTCTGGAGAAAGCGTGCAGCAAACTAATCCTTTCCTGCCATCTCCTGACTTCCGGTCCTGGCTTCTCGCCTGGTCGGTTGTGTTTGGTGTGTGGCGACTGCAAATTGCAGACTGCAAATGTCTGCAATTAAGCACAAGAGTCTGGAAGGGGACTGCCGCTTATGTAAGGTGCGAGCTGCACATGTTTTTTTTGCTCGTTGGACTTATGAACCAAACGGACCTAAGAACAGCGTCTCGGAATGTAACCCTTTTGTAAGTAGGGGACTGTCTGTATAACTAAAGTTAGTGATCTAGTCGAGTATGTTGCACAGACAGGTGATTATCTGTTTATATGAGCAGCTGATTGCATCTCGGTATAAATAGTTGTATTTGTACAACATGCTTGATTGAATCATGGGGGACATAATATATCACTGGGTTTCCCAAACACTCTGCTGCAGTGCCCTAGGGTGCCATAGCAAACGTACAGAGGACCATGGGATATTTTAAATTTTTGAGGGAAACACAGTGATATTCAACATTTGTCGGACACAGCAAATGTTTTGGCTTAGGGGCACCATGAAAACAATTACTGAGACACTAAAGGCTCCATCAAGTACAATTTTGGCCTAGGGGCACTGAGAAAGTTTGGATACCTCTGGCATATCATATGAACAGGACATTTTGTTTAAATGACCCAATCATTATAATGCCAGACAGGCTGGGCTTGTTTGGAGTAAAATAATTCCTGCAAGTCAGCTGTATCATCTAGACCAATGTTTCTCAATCTTGGCAGCTTGAAGATGCATGCTGGCTGGGGAATTCTGGGAATTGAACTCCGTGTATCTTTATGCTACCAAGATTGAGAAACACTGGTCTAGATGATAAAGGATGCTGGCTGGGGAATTCTGGGAGTTGAAGTCCATGCATCTTCAAGCTGCCAAGATTGAGAAACACTGGTCTAGTCTGAACTGTTATCTCTTTAAGATTGAAGTAGCATCTTACAGAGACCATAGAAATGGAGTTTGTCTAGAAACACCGACTCTGATTCCAGCTTTCACTTATGTAGTAGCAGTAGTATCATTTTTCATGTGTCTGTGCATGGTTTACTTGCAGTCCAATATATCATCTGAGGTAAGGAACTCAGATCTGTCATAGGAACACCAACCCCAGTCATCATGAATTAAAAAAAGTTCCTCAACCCTAAAGAAAAAAAAACAGAGTCAGGAAGCAGGAGGTAGCTGGCAATCTCTCAATCTTTTTTGGTAGCAGCTGAGAAGAGAGTGTAAAATTGCTGGTGGATTAGCCGCTGGTGCATGAAGCTGACTGGGAGAAGGGATGAAGGAGTTGTTTGTGTTGTGTGAGTACAGTTGCTTAGTGGTAAACTTAGACTTGGTCTTGCCCTTTTACAGACTTAGCTTTGGGTTTAACCAGGAACTTCCAAATAGTGCCTAAGGTCTATAATCATGAGAGGGTGAAATGTAAAATGAGTCTCCCTAACCTCAGTATTCTTGGAATAGTGGATAAAATATAGGTAAGGGTTTCCATACAATACATTGTGGGTACTCCCCAGGGTGTTTGTAGTCCATGCTGTGGACATGAAACAAAGGGTTCAGATTCTATGCCAGGGAAAAAAGTGCCCTTTTGAAATTGATGTTCAATGATATATATATTGGTTCTTATTATTTTCTCACATTCTGGTTATGGGAAAAGAGCAATGTCTTAAATGGAGCTCTGAACCCACCTTGTTATTTTATTCAGCCACTCTCCTTGCTTCTAAAAATTCAGCAGGCATTGTTTTCACTGTTAAGTATATCTTCTTAACCACAAGGGCTAGAAACTTGTGTTGTTCTAAACCAACACTGGGATTTTCAGGAATTCAAATCTAGGGTCTATTTTCTTTATAGTTGCGAGCAGTTTTCAGTGCCAGCAGACTGAGTTGCAGGGATTTTGACAGAGAACTTGGCTCATGACCTACTTTTCTAATCTTTGTACAAAGAATGTGGGAGTATAAAATGAGGTGAACAGCACGGCAAAGCATAGCTTCTGGCATTCTTTCCAACCCCATAGAACTCTTGTTTCTTTTCTGTCACTTAGTGATACGTGCCTGTGTATCTTTGTGTTTCTGCTGTCCCCTCATGTTACCCCTCTCTGTGTTTGTCTATATGTGCAGATGGGGATGTGTAATCGGGAGAGTGTTGGAATTCAACTTTGTATGTACCAGTTTTCTATACTAATAAATGTATTGATCACTAGGGACGAGAGAGAGAGAGAGAGAGAGAGCGGGATGTTGCCATTTTGATGTCTTTTCTTGCCAAAAATACTTCCTTTACATGTGCCTATGTGACATGCCTCCTGTTGTTAGACCAGTGTTTCTCAGTCTTGGCTACTCGAAGATGTGTGGACTTCAACTCCCAGAATTCCCCAGCCAGCATGGCTGGCTGGGGAATTCTGGAAGTTGAAGTCCACACATCTTCAAGCTGCCAAGACTGAGAAACACTGTTAAACTGTGATACTTTCCCCAGCCAGCATGGCTGGCTGGGGAATTCTGGAAGTTGAAGTCCACACATCTTCAAGCTGCCAAGACTGAGAAACACTGTTAAACTGTGATACTTTCCCCAGCCAGCATGGCTGGCTGGGGAATTCTGGAAGTTGAAGTCCACACATCTTCAAGCTGCCAAGACTGAGAAACACTGTTAAACTGTGATACTTTTCCATCACTTCTCTTCTCACTCAGCTCAGCACTTTCTTCTGACTGAGGAATGGGCAGTTCAAAGCAGTTCCAGATTTGCTCTCTTAATGGAGCAGAGCACACTACAGGCTCTTTCCTGCAGCTGGATTTAAAGAATTTGGGCTTTCCTGAATAAAGCTTATCTTTTTTCTTTTTTTTCTTTTTTTTAACACAAGAGTCAGCTCAAGAATGTGCTCCTAACTTTGGAATTTTTCTGTTTATACCTCCTTTCCACTGTACAAAGCTATCTTTCAAGTTATTCTGGAGGGCTTGTGATGAGTGATAGGGCACTCAGTTGGATTGTTTTTGTTATGTTTACGGTTTGGGGGTTTTAGAGTTTTACATATTTTAGTTTCTGCCACGGATATTTTATTTAAATGATTGGGTTGCTTGAAATTACTATAAACTGCGCTGAGTCCAGCAATTGTGGCAGGAATAGAAATAAATAAATAACGACATCTGTATCCAACAGGGAGAGGAGAGAGGAACTTAGCAGATTCTGAGTTGCTGCCCAACTATCTCTTCCATACGGATCCATTGGGATTTTTTTTTTCTGGAATGTTTTTCCCCATACTCCCTGGCGAGATTCAGTCTGCTTTCAAACTCAGTCTTTTTGCTGGCTTTCTCTGCTACACTCGATTTGGTTCCCTTCTGTTCAGTTTTCAGAGAATCTGCTGATGGACAGAGAGACCTATGAACAGAGTCCTGAGTCCCTTTTCATAATGTCTTTCCAACATTTTACTGACTAGGAAAGAAGAAAAAAGGCCATTACAGTGATGATAAAGCCGTCCTAACATCCTTCCATTCGTGTTTATAGAGCCACAGATCTTGTACCTCATGTAATTCAGTTGCTGTATGTTTCTTCTCTTAACAGAATAGTCAGATCTAGTTACTACAAATCCTATTCTACTGGAAGGAAGCAGAGAATGTTGTGTGGGCAATCTGAGTAAGTTGGCTCAACCTTTAAAGAAAGTATGCTACAAGTCAGCTTCTCTTCAGTTTTGCCTTTCTCTGTAAGAAATGGTTTCCATGCACAGTAAAGTTAGATATTAAAGAAATGGTTCCCATGCACAGTAGATATTAGTGCAATCCTAATTAGGTTGCAGCTAGTCTCCCTGGAGCATCAGCTGTTATTTAGACATGGCCTACTGTGGCCAGTGCTTGCTTGTCTGTGCCAGTTGGCCATTCATGAACACTAAGGCCCTCTGTTCCAGCCATTTCTAAACTGACTTATGTTTGCCTGGCATTTGCAATACACGAGC